TGATTGAATGGAGAATTTTGAAATTAAGTCATTTTAAAATATACCAATTCAAAAGAATTGCATTTCTAATTGCAGGTTAAATAGTTTTCCATAAAGATATTTTGAAAATTCAAGTTTGATAAAATAAAAATAATTATAAAATAAGGATAATGATATTAGATATAGGAAAAAAATTCAAGAGAAATATGAAATATGATATCATTAGATTTATAAAAAAAATATAGCTATTACTAAAAATAAGAAAAAAAATCAGGAAATATATTTTAAAATGAGTTTTTTAAGTAAGAATTAATTAAACAAATAAAAGTTGTGCTAAAAAAACAATAAATGTTGATCTTTCATTGAACTATTAAACAATTTCACAAATTCTACCTTAATTAAATGAAAATTTGAATTTTTCAAAATCTTTCATTCAAATTTCGAGCATTGTGAAAATTCTATTTTTATTTTGCAAAATATAATTTTATGATTTTAATTTCTTTGATTGAAATTTATTCCACCTACAAAATAATTAATAGGTCAAATCCACAAGCCATATGTGGCAAGTTACTACACTAATTACCACTATCTGGGAAGGAACCAGAGTAAAATATTACAATTTTACACTAATTTTTGACCATTGATATTTCTTTAATCCAATGGTCCGGTATCAATGGTCCCGAGATAGTCAACTAATTGCCCACATTAATGAAAGTCAATTATACCTACCTGGCAATCCTCTCTCTAATGATCTTACTCTCTTCCCATTTTTGCTCTTTCCATAATTCTCGCTTTTTTTTTTTTTTAACAATCACGTAATTTTTTAATAGAGTGCTAAAATTAAAATTCCAATCCCGTGAAAAAATAATTATTCCTTTGTTATTCCTCTATCTCCTGATTCTTGTCACATGTGCTTATGATAAAAAATTTTCATTTGTTCTTCATATTCTCCATGTTGATATGAATGCAATCCATCCACTTAAAACAGACCATTTGTCCCGCCTTTTCCCTCTTATTAACATGGGATTGGAGTTATTGATTAATTACTACAAAGCCCAAGATTATTTTCTAACAATTTTTTTCACGGTAATTTATGCACTTTTTAAAAAGTTCTTAAAATGTGAATTGGGGCAATTTTATGGAAGCAATCATGAATTACTGTTATGGCCAATCTTCCGGATTTTTGTTTCTTCTGTTTTCCTAGATGATGAAGAAAATGAAAATAGTTTTAAACAAAATAAGGAAAAATAAAATATGTGCAATGATCTTCGAAAATAAAGTAGAGAACCAGGGCACGGGTAAGGAGGAGAGAGATTGGCTCCACAAAATAGAAAAATAAAATAAAATAAAATGGTAATGAATTTGTTTAAATAGTAATTTATAGTAGACATTATATTGAACTAAAATCGATTGTTTTAAATTGATATAAAAATATGTTCAATGCTTTAGCCTTGATTGATTGAGAAATGTTGAGAGCCATAAAAGATGAAAAATGTACTAAGAAATATATATATTAATTAATTAATTAATTAATTAATTAATTAATGTTCTCTATTATTCATTAAACGAAACCAAAAGCAAAGGAAAATCAAACAATCATATACTTGAAAGTTAAAATTACGATTGCATAAATAAAAGAGTACGTTTCTCTTTTTTGGTGCAATGGAAAAACAATTATACAACTCCAATCCAACAATATAATTAAAACTTTATTTTCAACCCAAACACTTGAGCTGTCTAGGTGACTCAATAACATTTTACTTCATTCTGGGTACTTTTAGTTCCACTTATTTACTGTTCAACGGTGATAAAAAAAAAAAAAGAAGAAAAGAGCGCCTAGTTGTTCTTCTGCTTGCAAGTGTCATAGCAGGAACCAACAAAGTTTTCGACTTTCTCAGCATCTGCAAAATCAGAAAGAGAAAAAAAACCCATAAAAATATTGTTTGAAGGAAATTAAATGGAGAAAAGAATTGCATATAATTCTTAGATTTAAAAATGTAGGGTATAAAGATAGATTTTAGTGTTTTTACCAGTAGGATTGTGAGCATTGACCATGGAGGTTGCACAATCGCTTGTACAATTATAGACTACTTCTGAGGGATTAAGTTCGCAGCCTACCATGCAGAGACCAACACAAAGTGCAATGCGGGCAGGAATGAGGCGAATCAAGCACTTGAAAAGACACTTTTTAGCACAGACTTCTTTCGCGGAAGCTAGATGAACATCTGCTAACTCACCTCGCCCATAAGTTAGAACAACCATCATCAACACCATCATGTTCACCATCATTCTCTTTGAACCAATCCCCTCCATCACTCCACTCAATACTCTCTGTCTCAGAGTCTCCTTCACTCTTGATTTTGCTAATGTTTTTGTTTGCTGCAAGTCTGTTGAAGGCTTGAACAGAGTACATATTTAGAAGGTAATTATAATTTTCATTTGCAGGATTAAATGATGAAATAGTGAGGTAATAGGAGTACATCCACATGGCACATCCAGGAATTAACTGATTTTGGATAGGATTTTTACCACTTAGGCAAAACAAATAAAATTTAGTTTTAATTGGATTAAAAGCAGTATTGATGGGTTTATGTTTGAGTTTGGGTTAACATTACATGATTCAAAAATTTATGTTACAAATTGTATATATTTTTTTCTTGAAATACTAATTTATACATTTTCTGAAAATTAAGATGTCAAATGTATAATTAATTCTACACCGTATTGTAAAAAAAAACTAATGAATGAGAATCTAATCCCAAGAATAAAATATAAAGAAGTTACTGTCAAATCATAAGAAGACAATCATTCACTTGTAAATCCAAATAGTTTAAATAAATAAATAAATTATAAATATTTCTTTTAAGAGTTTAGGAACATTCTATATTTGAGAAACAGCCAGACATGTATTACATACGATACTATATTCAGAACATAATATTAGGCAGTAAAATTATATTAGGCATGCAGCCAGGTTGCTTTCCTTTCTAACAAATACATACATATATATATATATATATACATATATATATGTCGTAAACATTTGATTTTATTCAAATTCAGAAATGGGTCTCGGTTTCATTTCAGTAGATATTGAGCCCAAAATCCATGTCAACTAGGCTTAAAATCCAAAATTTACCTTTAACCCAAAATTCAGATAAAGGCCCAAACTTTTAATAATAATAATAATAATAATAATAATTAATTAATTAAAAAAAGAGAGCCCGTGGCTGTTGGTGCCGTGCACCGCACTAGCAGTGGCACCCATGAACTCCCTCTGACTGTAGCCCTTCACACTAGGAGCATCACTAGGCTCACTCGCCCTTTTCACGGCCTTTTCAACAATGGCAGGTAGGGCAAAGTCTCCAAGAAACATGGTCTAAGCTAAAATGAAAAAAAGGACAAAAAATAAACAGAAGTCACATCAGTCGTCGCCACCCTGGCAGCGTGAAAGCTACCAGTGACACCTTGAACACCCCAAAAATCATAGAAATCCTGGATTTCGTCATTCTTCCCAGCTCTAAATTTAGAGCTTAAGCACCACGAAAAAGGAAAAAAAAGGGATAACCTCCGTTAAAAAAAAACCAAAAAAAGAAACCTTTACTAAAAAAACCATTTCCCTAACCTGCCAAAAAAAAAAACCCAAAATCCACATTCTGTGGAGTGGGGAACCAACCCCAGAAAAAGAAACAAATCAAAAAAAAAAAAAAACCAAAGAAAAAAAGGATGTGGTCGAAAGTTTACAGGCTGATTTAGGAGTTTCTAGGTGATTTCAAGAAAAAGAAGGTTAGAACGAGAATCGAGAGGTTGAAAGGAGTTTGTGGGTGGCTTTGGAAGTTTTCTGGCAACCGACATGGTGACCAGTGACTAGTTACAGCAACGGACCACGGCAACTACTAGCCATTTTCCTGGGGATAGCCTAGCGTTTTTTGGTTGAGCTTGAAGTTTTTTTTTTAAAAGGAAGGCTGAAATGGTTTGAAAAAAAAGGTTGGGTTTTTATAGTTAAAAAAAAAAGGTTAGAATCGAAACGATGCCATTTTGGGAGTGGGACGATCATCGCGAACCCGAGACCAGACTTGAAGATTAGCGCGACCTAACTCGAAGATGCTGCAGCTGACCAGCATTGACCAATCTGACTGAACTGTCATCGAACTGGCTTGAATTGCAAAAAAGGGGTTCTAGACCGGCTGACCGACCTTGAACTGTACCGCACTGTTGATCAGACTCTTGTACGATTAAGTTAAATTTTTTTAAATTTTTAATATTATTTTTATTATTTTAAATTTTATTACTATTATTATTTACGTATTTTTAAAATTTTAAATTTATTAGAATAAATATTTATTTTATTTATATTTTAATAATAATAATAATAAAAGTGAAAACAAAAAATAAGCGAAGATAAACAATAAATTCTTGATAATTTAATTAAAAAATTAAAATAAATCTCATAAAATAATATAATAAATAGCACCTAAAGAAAATAATACTAACAATAATTAAAAAAAAGAAATTGGTTTCTAAACTTTTGATATTTTTAAATTTGAAAAATAAAAAAAGTAACCAAAAATAAATAAAAATAATGAAAAAAATGTAAAAAAGAAAATTTTTATTTGAGGATGAGATTTTAAAGTATTTTGAGTAATAATATTTTAAAATTTTTTAAGTGAAAATATTATTTTTTAAAATATTATTAACGTATTGAAATATTTATAAAATTTTTTTAATATAATAAAAATATTTTTTATTAAACAAAAATAAAATTTAACTAAACAATTATTAAATAAAATAAAAATTAATTTAAAAAATAATAAAAATGATGAAAAATAAATTTTTTGTCCGATTATGAAGATTTAAGGTATTAAATAGATTATGGAGATTTAAGGTATTAAGTATAGTGATGTTTTAAAAATCTTTACGTGAAAATTTTTTTTTTTAATTTTATTAATATATTAGATTATTTATAAAAATTTTTTAAAATGATAAAAAATTTTCCTTCAACCCCCATTTCACTTCTCGCTGCCATCGGTCGCCTGCGAGAGAGAGGTCTCCTCATAGCCGCACAAACTTTCACCGAATGGGTCGGGTCATCCGAGCTCAACGTAAGGGTGCGGGTTCCGTCTTCAAGGCCCACACCTACCACCGTAAGGTTCCCGCCCATTTTCGCAGTCTCGACTTCGGCGAACGAAATGGTTACCTAAAAGGTGTGCTCACCGAAGTCATCCACGACCCGGGCCGTGGCGCGCCCTTAGCCTGCGTGGTCTTCCGTCACCCTTTCCGTTACAAGAAGCAGAAGGAACTGTTCGTTGCTGCCAAGGGTATGTACACTGGACAGTTCGTGTACTGTGGTAAGAAGGCTACTCTTATGGTCGGAAATGTGTTGCCTCTTAGATCTATCCCTGAAGGAGCTGTCGTTTGCAACGTCGAACATCACGTTGGTGATCGTGAGGTTTTCGCTAGGTTTTCTGGTGATTATGCTATTGTTATCAGTCACAACCCTGATAACGACACAACCAGGATCAAGCTTCTATCTGGTGCCAAGAAGATTGTTCCAAGCGGCTGTCGTGCCATGGTTGGCCAGGTTGCAGGAGGTGGTAGGACCGAGAAACCTCTTCTTAAGGCTGGCAATGCTTGCCACAAGTTTTAAGGTGAAGAGAAACTCTGGCCTAAGGTGCGTGGTTGTGGCTATGAACCCAGTGTGAGCATCTCCAGCGAGTCGCCAAACTGTCATAACGGTTTTGGACTGTCAGATGTAAAACGAGTTTTAAAATCGAGAGAAATAAAAGAGTCGCCACCAATCTTTGTTAGGGTGTGATTGGACCACCAAAAGGTTATCCTTTTAATAAAACTATAAAACGGTTTAAAATTTATCAAAAAGATAAATTTCAGTCTACGAAAAATCAGGTTGGGTCCAGGAGTTGTTACGCGTGGGGAAGGATTAGCACCCCCACAACGCCCATAAATTGGTACCATTTAATTACGCTCTATTTTCGATGTTGGATAAAAATAGTTTTAATTTGAAATTAACACTAATTCCCTTCACTTGAAAAAAAATAAATTTTGCTAAAATATTATTTAGAAACTATAAGAAAATCTTTTAAGTTAAAAAATTATCTTAAAATTCTCCATCGCCTAGGCAGAATTTAAAATAATTCTTTTTGCCTAAGATTTAACATAATAATCCTTAAAATGAAATAATAATCTTTATAGAAAATAATTGTTAGTGACTTTCCAACATCTAGGCAGAATACCAAGAATTATTTCATTCGGAATGTTATTTTTGTTTTATTTTATAATATCACAAAAAGATTTCTTTTTTTTAAAGTATTATCCCTTTTTTTTGTTTTTTACTATAAAATATTTTATCATCGAACAGCAAATTAAAGAGAGAATAATGCAATCAATTATCGATGATAACATGCCAACGTATATATGCTAATGAATGTCATTTACAATGAAATGCAATTTAAGAGTTGGATTCTTAAGTATAATGAGACCACCCCGACTCTCCAACATCTAAGCAGAGTTTAGGTGCGATTGTTTATATTTAAGATCCAAATTTTATTATACTTTTATTTATTAATCTTATTATTAATGTGAATTAAGAACTTATGTGAAAAGACTTAACGAAGTAAAATTTCCTAAATATCCCATCATCTAGGCGGCATTCGGGAACAAATTGCTTCAAATAGAATTTTCACACATGTCTTTAGGATTTTTAGGACTTTGGATTTTAAGAGGTTTTGAATCTTAAGGGATTTTGGATTTTTAGGGGTTTTAAAACTTAAGATTTTGAAAATTAAAAAAAAGTGTTTAAGGTTTAAGTAAAACACGAACATCTCTAAAAATCTCCATCATCTAGGCAGACTTTGGAGAAAGTTTAATTTTTTTTTTATAATTTTTGAAAACTAATTAAAAATTTCTTATGTGTTTTTTTTTAATGAAAATTTATTCATAATAATTCTCCAACATCTAGGTGAAATTATTTGTTTGAAAAAATATTTTTTATTCCTTCCAACATCTAGGCAGGGAAAATAAAACGCTTATTCCATTATTACTATTATTATCTAAACATTTTTAATATATTTTTTAGTTATTATTTTATATTGTTTTCATTTTATTATTATTAATAACAATTAGATATTTATCCTAATAAATTTAAACATTTATCATGCATAAATATAAAATAACAAAAATAATAATATATAAAAAAAATTTAGAAAAAAATTTTTTTTTACCTGAACCGGACTGGTCAACGATCCGGTCAACGCTGGTCTGGGCAGTCTGACCGGTTCGGAGGTTGGATCGATGGTTTGGGCGATCTGACCGGATCGACGATTCGGGCGACCAGCGGTTCAGACCGATTCACTAGCGGTTCGTCTGAATCGGTTCAAGGCTGGCTGAAGCAGGTCATGGGGTCGGGTTGCGCAGATCTCAAGTTGGGTTCGTCCATGCGTGGATCCTCTGAGCTTGAAACGGTGTCATTTTGGTCCTATGTTTTCTATAAAAGTCAAATTTTTTTTCTTTCCTCAGTCTGTTTGGTTTCACAGAAAAAAAAGGCCCTGAGGGAGGTCTCTGGTCTCGCTGGAATCCGACACCGTGCCTGCGCCGGTGGTCGTGTGAGTCACCACCGACGATGGTCGTCGATGATCGAAAAATGGTCAAAAGTCATCGAAAATTCCTCTGGACACCCTCTTTCCAGATCCGACCTTCGCTTGGCCTGAAAGTGGCTTGATCGTCGTGAATTTGTCTTCAAAGTTTCGGATCTCTCATCTTTTCTTTCTTTTTTTTTTGTTGTGAACAAAAATTGATTTGTCTTCCTTCTTGCAGGTAGCTTGGTGCTGGGTTCCTCCCTATGGGAGGAATGTGTTTTTTTTTTATGATTTGTGTAGATCTGTTTCATTTTCGGTTTGGGTGTTTTTTTTTTTTTGAGGTTGCTTAAAATTTGGTTTCTTATGCGTGGGAATAGGGATCTGTCTGAGGCTATTGAGGGTGTTTTAAGGGGGGAAGAGTTCGTCTGAGCTCGAGGGTTTTCGTGGATAGATCGAATGGGTTTTTTTTTTTATTAGAGAGACCAAAGAGAAGAAGGGGGAAGAGTTCGTTGTTGATTTTAAAGAGCTTCAATTAGGTGGGATTTGGGTGACTGTAGGTGGGCTGAAAGAGAGTTGGTCAGGGGGCTGGTCGGGAGGCTGACAGGGGCGGCAGCGGTGCCGTACTAGCCCCTGGTTTTTGTCTCATTTCTTTTTTTAATTATTTTTTAATTTTTATATTTTTTAAAATATTTATTATTATTATTATTATTATTAATATTAGTATTATTAGTATTAATATACTTAAAATGGAAACAGTAGACCCAGATAAAATTGGTGTCTACAGCTACCCCTCTTTGCACATTACTGAAAATTAGGAATAGGACAAAGATGAAGACAACGATTTTGTCCGAAAGCAAACCATGAATTTTTTTTTTTTACAGGTCAGGTCAAGTGATAAAGAAAGCGACATTATGAGTTGAAAAATAAAGAATCGATTAAGGCAACACCTAAAATCGAATAAAAGAAAATGATCGGGATGACACCGTGAGTTAAGGATTAAAGATGACTGGGACTAAACTGCAAGTCGAGGGAATTAATGAAATGATCGGGATTAAACCGCGAGTCAAAAATTAAAAATGACTGGGACTGAACCGCAAGTCGAGAGAATTAATGAAATGATCGGGATTAAATCGTGAGTCAAAGATTAAAGATGATTAGACTAAATCGTAAGTCAAAATTAATGAAATGATCGAGATTAAACCATCAGTCAAAGATTAAAGATGACTGGGACTAAATCACAAGTTAAGAAATTAATGAAATGATCGGGATTAAACCATAAGTCAAAGATTAAAAATGACTGGAACTGAACTGCAAGTCAGAGAATGAAATGACCGGAATTAAACCACAAGTCAAAGATTAAAGACGACTGAAACTGAACCACAAGTCAGAGAATTAATGAAATGATCGAGATTAAATCGTGAGCCAAAGATTAAAGATGACTGGGACTGAACCGCAAGTCGAATAATTAATGAAATGATCGGGATTAAACCACGAGCCAAAGATTAAAGATGACTGGGACTAAACCCTAAGTCAAAAAATTAATGAAATGATCAGGATTAAACCACGAGCCAAAGAATAAAGATGACTGGGACTGAACTGCAAGTCAGAGAATGAAATGACCAGGATTAAATCACGAGTCAAAGATTAAAGACGACTGGGATTGAACTGCAAGTCGGGCAATTATACAAGACTGAGCTATGTGTTGAGAAATAAGAGACTAGGTACTCCATAGACCAACAATTTTGATTTTAAAGATTGTGCTAACATACCATCTTCAAGGCCATCATCTTTGTTTCGAGAAAAAAAATGTTGATTCTTCCTGATGTCTTATAAAGAAACCTTCTATGCAACTTATCGAGAGGCATGTAATGCATGCAATGATTATGATGAAAGAAAAGACAAAGATGTCGTCAACGAATTATATCATGCATTTCATCCAAGTTAATTCAACTTTTGATTCAATTCTTTCAAACTTTAAAAGCCACTTCCAGTAATCTCGTCCTTTTAAGTCTTTAAATTTTTTATTAGAAATCTCTGTCTCATAACGGACCAATCTGGCTTTTAGTCGCTCTAAAACCTTTCATTTTTTATTCTTTATCCCTTTTTTCTTCTTTGTCTTCAGTAATCAATCGATTTCGTTTCATTCTTTCTGCCCCTATATTACTATTTTTGTCATCCTCATATTGCATTCTCTTTTCGAGCGATGCATTGGTCTATTATGAGCTTTATTAGTTAATATCTTAATTTTAAATGACAAACGTAATGATTTCAGGTTCAAAGTTGGGTGTGCAATACGACCAGTAATAGGGTATTTCGGGTTTAGAAAGATAAGCCTTTCGAGACATAAAGAACAGTTAACTCAAAAGTATTTCAAAAATCAAATATCAATTCTCTAAATAATGAACATTTAGACGACCTCGGCTTACTTAGACCAGGTCTTTTCCCAAAAACTCGTTACATTTGCGATCTTGTCACATGTGATTTCATATGACCAATCTTTGCCCCACATCTGTGACTAATGAGAACTTGCCTCCTAAAAGTCATCTCTTTTAATTCTGGTGACAATTCATCCATTCGGTGTCATTCTTTCATTTTCTGAAAAACTTTCTCCGAGCTTCACCTTCATTCAAACCGCCTTTACAGGTTTTCTTAAATGACCCAATTTGACTCAAATCGCCCTTTTCGAGTTTTCAATCTGAATCACTTCCTTTCTCTTTTTTTTTCATTTTTTTTTGTATTTTTATTTTTTTTCTCTTTTTTTTAGGCAAAATATTTTTTGACAGTGTCTGAATTTACAGGATTTGGTAATTCATCTCCGTCCATTTCTGTAAGGATCAGAGCTCTACCAGAAAAAACCTTTTTTACCACATATGGACTTTCCCAATTGGGTGTCCATTTTCCTCTATTGTCATGCTGACATGGTAAAATCCTTTTCAAAACTAATTCACCCTCACGAAAGCGTCGGGGTCGTATCTTTTTGTCATATGCTCACATGATTCTTCTTTGATACATTTGTCCATAACTGAGTGCTGAGAGCCTTTTCTCTTCACTAAGA